AGTATTCATAAAAAGTCATCCGTCTGTTCCGGAAGAATAGAAATAGTTATCACTTATGGTAAAGAAATGAGACAATTGCCGAAGACTTACAGCGTGTGATCGATTTGAGACAAATCGATGAATTTGGGTAAAGAGGCGTCGATATAACAATCGGGTAAAAACTCAAACATTTCGGTCAACACACAATTGGCCGACTGTTTGTCGGATTTGATCCACAAATCAATGATCGCATTGTCTTCGAGTTGTGACAACTTTTGCGTCAAATTAATTAAACCGCAAACGTATTCATAATGGGAACCGCTGTCCGATTGAACACCTCTTTTGGCGCAAAAGTTCTGGAAATTGAGAACTTTTTGCGGCAACTCTTCGTCGGTCGACAGCTGAAGAAGAATCGACTCGTCCTCGAAGTCAGTGGAGAACAAACGGTCAAAGATAGCGCTGTCCTCATCGTCAGAGTCCACAGGCATTGACTCCTTTGAGGGATCAAAACAAAGACATTAAGACATGAAATGAAATGACAATTCAATTGTCTTCACATATATCGGGTGACACCGCGGATGACGATCACCACTAAACACAAGCCTATCATTACCTCAAACGAGTCATCAAACGGACGATCACTGGCGGGCATTGTTTCCCAACACTTGTTCACACAAGAAGTCACCCAAACATCTGATCCCAAAAGTGATGTCAAAACAAATTTGATGTTATTTTGAATGCGAAGTGAAAACAAGTTTAGCGCCAAAAGTGTCCATAAATTACGACTCAATGAAAGTGTGTTTTAATGACCGGAAAAGCGAACGTAATTCACAACACATTTCCATTCAGTACTTCCTTTCCAGTCGTGTCGAGACAGACATCGCATTCACTCAACCCATTGTCCGCCTCTTCAGTGGCTGATTATCATCTAAACCATGGCTAAGGTTTGTCTCATTGCCACTCATTATCTTCATTAATGACCACTCGTTTGGTCACACTTTGGACCGAAACTCTTTGTGAAGTCTTTTGTTGTTTAAAATGCATTTTTTCTGAACACCCGTTGAATTGAATGTTTGCCTCTTTTCACGTGTCTTAACACGTCTTTGAATGCTATCACCCATTGATTGATCCGTTTATTGATTTGTTTGTCTCTCTTGTGTCTCCACTCGCAGAAAGGGTTCGTAAAAGTGGTGAAAAGTAAGGCTTATTTCAAGCGATTCCAAGTCAAGTTCAAGAGGAGAAGAGGTATGTGTTGTTCGCACCACTTGTGATGTGTAACTAATCCATTGGTTCCCATTGTGTGTGTTGTCGACAATTAGAGGGCAAAACCGATTACTACGCTCGCCGTCGGCTCGTAGTGCAGGACAAGAATAAATACAATACACCGAAGTATCGGCTGATCGTTAGGTTCACCAACAAAGACATCATAACACAGATCGCGTACGCGAAGATCGAGGGCGACGTCATTGTGTGCGCCGCTTATGCCCACGAACTGCCCCGATATGGCGT